TCTCCATCAATAGTAATTAAGTACTTCTCACATTAAAAAAAACACATATTTACACATGCAAGAGGACTACCAAACCTTCAAAGATATTCAACAATTATAATATAGGTAGACTAGATGGATTAGACGCGCTTCGCGCGTATGCTATGTAAAATTAAGTTACTTAATGTACATTATATGTAAAAAAATTATTTTTTTATAATTAAAGTAGTAAATTACATTGCTGTCTAATACACTATCTACAAAATATGTTAACAAATTTATCAGTAGTAAAAAAATTATACTTTTATATTGTAAGAACAAAATGGTATCACTAAAATGTGTCACTTCTTATTTCAACGAAAGTAACATATAGTAGCTGATTGTGGAAAAAAAAAAAAGGACAAGCCGGTGAGAAATAAAATAAATCGAGTTTATGTATTACCAGAAAAAAAGAATAATTTAAAAAAATAGGAAAAAAAACCAACTAAATTTGAGAAGGAAAAATTCAAGAAAAAGAAAATGGAGATGAGCAATGAAAGATGATAACCTCCGATAGATTTGAGATTGAGAGGTAAAAATAAAGATTCGAAAGGAAAAAAAAAGATAGAGACAAGTGATTGAATATTACACCCTTTCAAATTATATGTATGTAACTTTATGCTACATGACTTTTAATATTCTTTTGAGTTGTGGAACAATTAAAACTACCATTGAAGAACCTATTAAATTCAAAGAGAAAAAGAGAAGAAGAAAAGACTTAAGGAATTCAAAGAGGTTAGAATAACCGAAAATTGCTTTTAGGCCAATCAATTTCACACAATAATGAGAAATTATTTTTGAAATTAATGGTTAGAATCATCATAACCATTTTTAGACCGATCAAATTCAACTAATCATGAGAAACAATTTTTTGTAATCTTAAAAACAAAAATTAATGGAAGGGAGATTAAAGGGTCATTATATTGTTTGATAATCAAGGACAATTTATTATTATAAATTTAGATATAAGGGAGTAATTTTTTATAATAAAATATAATATAATGGGTAATAAGTAAAATAATAATGAAATAAATAGGAGAAAATATTTATTGCAAAATGCTTTTGACAAAATTCAATGAGAGACTACAAAATTTATAAATTGCATGAAAAAACAATTAACCAAAAATAAATAAGTGGAAAGGACTACCAAACTTCAAAACTTATTCAGCAATTATAATATAGTACTAGATGGATTGGATCCGCTTTGTGGGTGCGCGTTATTGTATATATGATCAAAATATTTACTTTTGTTAGGACTATAATTATTGTATTAAATAAAGTACAAAATGATTTTTTTTAAAAATAAAATATTAAATTTCAAAAGAATACCTGCTAATATATTACCAATTGTTTTGGTACATAAAAACAAAAGCACGATTAAATCATTTCTATAAATTTTATAAACTTTTTTTTATATCAATTTTAAGAAAATGTCAAAATCTAAATGAAACTTAAGTAATTTAGTGTGTGGGTAAAAATTATCGACTAAGTCCTTGCAAGTACATCTTTACCATCATTTCTGCGTCACCTAATTCCTGTTAACTTTAGATAACTCACAATATAAATAATCCAAGTAACTCTTGATATTCGATGGTTTCATGGAAAAACAAACAAAATAATTACAGATTTATCCCAATATATTTTATAATGCTCGCTTTAAACACAGAAGACAGCTCAAAGCATCCACACTCGTACTGACTATGATTACTATGATTTGTGACATTACTACAACAACAAAAAAGAAAAGAGAAAATGTTATATTAATTTAAAACTCGGGCAAAAAAAAAATTGAAATTATGTATACAAACATGTATAATTATACAGTTTTTTGTTTTGCATATCTTCAATCATATGAAGGAATTTCATTTCCTTAATTTGGATCAAGAGTACAACAATATATAAAAACAACCATCACATATAAATTGGCCGAGTTTTTCCAGAATCTTCTATAAATTAGAAGATCAATGTTAACTTTGCTTGTACGAAAAATGTTTGTAGTTATGACTCAAATTAACACACAAGCATGAGTCATGTATATAATGGATTTCCGATGGTGGATAAAAAGAAAATTTCAACAAACAAAATTTGAAAGAAAATAATCTTACACTCGACTGAGAAAGAATACCTTATGGTTACACTGAAGATCAATTCTTAGGAGAGAGCGAAATGGGAGGGTTTTTTTTTTTGAGTGAGTGTTAGTTAGTAAGGGAAAAAATTCTTATGGTGTTAAATAACACAAGTCTTGTACATTTAAAAATTCGTTATTGTCTGTCCAGTTCTCAAGAAATGTAAGTAACGGTTTTTGTTCATTCATAATTTAAAATGACTTTACATATCCGAATTAATGAGAATTTTTATAGCCATTTAAGTCACTATTTTTATTTCATAATGCAGTGGTGCTATTATCATATGAGAAGTTGAAAAGGTAAATGTTCATATAAAAATGAAATAGTAGTTATAACTAATCGTAATTCATGTGTTAGTTAAGAAGACATAAATGACATAATTTATTCACACATCTTCATAACTGTTAACCCCTTCCGTTCCCATATTCAAAGACATTAAAACTTTCTAACTAAATTATTTTTTTATTCACTTAATGATGTCATGGAATGACTACCAAAATCATTCCCATATTCGCTAATTATACTCCCTCTGTCCCATAATTATTGTCCACTTTTACTAAAATGAAAAATTTTATTTTTGGTCAAACTTAACTATATTTTACCTTAAACAACCGGATATACCCCTACATAAGTAATTGTTTAACCACTAAGATTTTATGGATAATGTTTTTTACTAAGGACAAATGTGTAACTTGATCCATAAAAAGTCAAATTGGACAATAATTTTGGGACAAAATTTTTTGGACAAAGTGGACAATAATTATGAGACGGAGGGAGTAATATATTTTGATGAGTATGATTATATGATATAAAACATAATACCTGAATTTATAGTACCTTAGAACTCATAAGTGATGTTTATTTGCTCATTAAAAGGGTCTATAATTGAATCCATATAGAAATATTAACTTGATAATATGTAAAATAGTTAATTCTATGAAAACTAATCACATGTATTTGGTAAAAAATTCAAAAATTAAAGTAGACAAAACTACAATGCTTTAAAATCCATTTATCCAATCATAAGTTAATGTAACTGGAATGCTTGTACTTGAAAAATTATTTAAGTGTTCAAATGATTTATTTTAAAACCTTTAAGGAACATTGGATGAAATCTAAATCCAAATTCTTGGGTTAAATATGCAATTATATAAATATATAAGACAAACCTACTTCCTTCTCCCTTAAATCCCCAGCCGCCGCACAACCCCCCGCAACCACCCTCATCTCGTCCTCTTCACCCATCTTTTTCATTCTTGCCTCTTTTTCTTTATTTTCTTCTTCAGTTATAATCTTTTTCTTCATCTCTTTTGTTTTTATTTCCTATTAAACTTCTTCTTTGTTTACTTAATTTCCAAAATCCCATTTCTTCTCCTTTTTCTTTAGGCTCCGTTTGGTTAGATTGAATTGTAATTGAATTAGAATTACAATACTATTGAATTGAAAATTAAATATTAAGATTGTAATTTAATCCCAATTCTTTTGTTTGGGAGATTTTAAGAATTGACTAGAATTAAGGTTCTAATACTAATTCTTGCGTTTGGATACATAAAAGTTTAGATACTCTATAATTGGATTTAGTTTGTTATTACGTAAGGATTATTAATATGATACTTAGAATTTTCACTTAACACATAAAAGATAATATGTAAAACATTTTGTTTCTGACCCTTCTCTTATTTTCTAAATTTTTAATTATGATTATTTAAAAAAAATTATATGTTTTAATAGAAAATTTTGTATAAATTCAGTTAATGAATATTAATGTTCATTTATGTATAAATTGACATTAATTTTCCTATACTAATAACTATTTTTGTAATCATATAATCACATGTGAAATAATATACATTTAGAATGCATGAACACACGTTATTTTTAATAAAAAATGTCATATATAGTTCAATTAAATATAAAAACACATGTGCACATATGGAACAATTTTTATAAAACTTTCAAATTTTTTTTTGCGTTTTTACTGCATCATAATATAATAAAAATTCTTTAACCCAAAAGTTTTATAATTATTTATTAATTTTGTAATAAATTTTGCTCTTGAATTTTTTTTTCAAAAGATAATAATATTAATTTTAAATAGATCTTGTTTATAATTATCAAATTGATATGTAAGTATACCATGTTTGTATAATAAATTAAAAAAATCAAAAAAAGGAAAAACCCCACTTTTTTTAGAAAGAAAAAAACCTAGCTAAAAGAAGGAAAAAAAAAAAAGGAAAAGAAAGAAAAACAGCGCTGCGTTGAGCCCAGCGCTGAAAAAAAAAAAAAAATAAGGCCCAAAGAGAGCAAAAACCCGTTTAGCTTATAACTCGCAAGCGACCCGACTTTGACTCGCGTGTTTTCTAAGAGATCCTTCGAATTTGAATTGCAATTATTTGCTCCCACAAAAAAATCGAAAATAAAGAATTGAGCCTTATTCTAATTCTAATTCTGAGAGGTCATTTTTATCAGCTAAACACATTCAATCCAACCAAACAGAGCCTTATTCTTTTCATCTTGCTTTTGATTCTTAATTTTCTCATCATAAGGATGCACACAAACTTTAAAAGATATAAGGGAAAAAATTTGATTTGTAAAAAGCTTTTACAAAATAGCGTGATGTGAGAAAAATGAATATACTGCAAAATTTCTCTCCAGTTGATAAAACCGGGATCAACCGATTTTTACCGGTTCTCGGTTTAACTGTGGTTTTCCTTTTTTTTTTTTTTATTTTTTTTATCAAGACGGGTTTTTGCATTACCCGGACCGTCCACGTGTCCGATTAGTTGAACCGGACGATCCGGTCCGGTTTAACAACATAGGTTGCAACCAAACAGAGCCTCTGACCAAAAAGCTAACCGGAGGCTCTAATTCTTTTTGACCCCCTCTCCCTTTCTCTCTACCTGTCCTGTTTCCCATTTTCTCAAAAGAAAACCCTTTTCCGTAGCTGACCAAATCGACTCCAATCATCTTCTAATCGACCAAACCTCCAAAGCGCCAAGAAAATCATCAAAATCGTTGGGAAAGAGCAAAATCAAGCGAATAGATTTGAGTTAGAAGAGAGGTGAGGGATTTTTTTATTTATTTTTTTGTGTGGGAATCACCGGAGCAACGACACCAAGCAAAAGTTGTAAAAAAGTAAGTAAGGTCCTGGTTCTTCTTCTTTCAATTTCCTGAATCTGAGATATAAATGAAGACAATGATCGGAAGTGGTGACCCAAAAGCAATCAGGATTTTTAAAAAAGATGTTATTGTGCTTGACAAACTTTTTTTTTTGTGTCTATGAGTTCTCAAATTCCTCATGTCTACCGGAGTTGACTCAGGCATTTGAGAGTTTGGTTAAGTTGGGAGTTTGAATCCCCGTTAAGGAGCAGGAGTTCAGGGGAATGATTTGAAAAAAAAATGATCATCTGCAAGTAGGGAAACCTTAACTTATTATCAACCTTGTGTACCTGCTGTCTGTTGTTCTTTTAGTTGTTAAAGCAATCTTTGCATTTAATAGGAACTTGGAGGAGTTATTAGAGACTGGGAAAATTGTTGTAGCAGTATAGACATTTAACAATTACGGCACTATTAGCTTGTTAAAGAACTAGTGAGAGACCTCAACTGTAGAGTGCAAGGACTGGAGATTTTAGTGTTTTACCCTTTGTGAGTTTTTTCTTTCTTGTACTAAATGCTGCTGTTCTTGAAATGATTGCATATTGCAAACATTTTGTAAAACAGAGGACACGCACGTGCTATATGTACAATATAGCTCTCCGGTCTTTGTTCCAAAACTGTTCTACAGGATTAGTGGAGACTGAGGATTGGAAATTCATATTGTTGAATGGTTAGTTGGACCTCAAGCTCAAGTTGAATGGTGGTTTAGGTAGGAAGTTGTTTCCATCCATGTATAGTTTGAGACTAGAGTTGCATGCATAGTTTGATGGTACTTATTAGTTTGAGACTAGTATTGCATGTATAGTTTAATGAATAAATTACAACTTTGTAGTTATTAAATTAGTGTTATGATTGATATGTATTTGGAATAACAACCTAGCTATTGAGATGGAGTCAGAATTTGATTTTACTATTTAAGTTAGTTGTTTAGTGTTGTAATTTTAAGGTATTGACAGTACCTGAGTCCTGGCACAATCCGGGCAACAGCTCGACTGGATCTAACTGTTCGTGTTTGAAAATGGGGTTTGGCCTGGCGGTTGCAGAGATGATGGCTTATGATTGTGAAAGGAAGCAACATTTAAATGGAACATACAGAAGGCTTGCTCCATTTCCTGTCCTGCTGTGCTATTACTAAAAAAATACCAGTGTTCATAACTCTTGAGATCCTGGAATGGTGCTCCAGGATGAAAGATCTTTGATTGGCGCATATGGTCTTAATATGTAGTAAATTATGTTGTACCTTTATTATTTTGATCCCCGAGAAGGGTTAACTTTTTATGTATCTTACTGTTTTATAGGTTGCCGTTTTTTATCATTAATCATCAATGTTTTTATGTTGGTTTGTTTTTACTTTCTTCTTTAGTTGGCATCATATTTTCTTTTTTCTAGTTGTAAGCATTACCTAATTTTGTTGTTCCTCATACTTGACTCTATGCTGTAGGAAAAGGTACAGTTAGGGTCAACGGAGAAACTAGAATCAGTGCTGTGCTTTCAGAAAATTAATGGTGCGGTAGCTCCTTCTACTTTTTCCATAGTTAAGGGGTTTTAGTCGAATGGATGAGTTTCAGCTTCAAACCAACTTGAATGATGTGACTTGTCCAATATGCTTGGATTTTCCCCACAACGGAGTGCTCCTTCAATGCTCATCTTATAATAAAGGTTGCAGAGCTTTTGTGTGTGACACAGACCATTTACATTCAAATTGTTTGGGTCGCTTTAAACAAGCGTATGGATCTTTATCTGGATCACGTTCGCCTTCGACTTCTGATGAAACATTAAGTGGTGATTTGCAGACGGGCAATATTGATGCCACTGGGATGGCAGCATGTCCCTTATGTAGAGGAGAAGTTACTGGTTGGGTTGTTATCGATGAAGTTCGCCGACACTTCGATGGGAAAAAACGCTTGTGTGAAGAGGAAAAATGTTCTTTCAAGGGGACTTACATTGAACTTCGTAAACATGTGCAAGTTGAGCACCCTCATTCATGCCCATCTAAAATTGATCCTGCACGTCAGCTTGACTGGGAGAATTTTCAGCAATCCTCTGAGATCATAGATGTTCTAAGCACCATTCATTCGGAAATACCACGAGGGGTAGTTTTGGGTGACTATGTGATTGAATATGGTGATCGCAACTCAGAAGAGGATCTTGAGGATTTCCCTGGGGATGAAGGAAATTGGTGGACATCCTGCATTCTTTATCATGTGTTTGATAATTTCCGAACATCTAGGAACAGAAGACGATCAAGAGTCAATAATGCACGGAGAAGAAACCGGCGTTTAAGTTATGATACCTCTAACTCGGATGAGGGTTCTGTTACATCAGTAGAATATGCAGATTATAGGGCTGAAGAGATTGAAGATGAGTATGTTACTTCCAGAAATCTGCCCGATCATCGTAGGTTTGTGTCTTCTATCTTCTTTTTTTTCTTTTTTTGTGTGTGTGTGTGTGTGGGGATTTGTGTTCTGTTGTTTTTTAAAAACAATTGTTTTAATGATGAGATTCATTTGTGTATCTAATTGGATAGGTTTTTCATTGTTGTACATTGCTGTCATGATGCCCTCTTATTTTTAGAATTCCTTTAAGCAGATGTTTTGAACCTTTTAGCCTTGGAATAGGGGATTGTACATTGCCAAATAATACTTCTTGGGTTTGTGGATCTTGGTCTTCATTTCTTTTGATGTGCAGCAATTTGAAAGAGTAATTATGAGAGTGGGTTTACGGTCTGCACCAATGTGAGAGGAATGAGATACTTGTGCTTTTCTTGTGGTATTTAGTTCAGGGTATGGGGTCCAAAATGGTTCTTAGCTTGATGCTACATCATTCAGAGTAGGATATAATGACAAACACTAAATATATTTTGAGTTGTCGGTCATGATGCCTTCTTACTTTTAGAATTCCTTTATGCAGATGTTTTGAACCTTTTACTATTTTGCTTTTATATGTAATGTTTAGCCTCGGAATAGGGGATTGTGACATGCCAACTAATACTTGTTGGGTTTGTGGATCTTGGGCTTCATTTCTTTTGCTGTATAGTTATTTGAAAGAGTAATTATGATAGTGGGATTATGGTATGCACCAATTTAAGAGGAACAAGATACTTATGCTTTTTCTTATGGTATTTATTTCGGGGTGTGGGGGTTTAAAATGGTCCTTAGCATGGTGTAGCATCATTCAGAGTGGGATATAATGACAATCCCTAAATACATTTTGAGTTATTGTTGTGACTTTCATGTTTCTCAAAAACCAGTTTCAATTAGTGGGGTTGTCTATAGTTAGCTATGGATTGTTTGGAAATGTTTTCGTCCTTTCTTCGCTTACATTTGTTGTTTGCATTAAAGTTAAAAAAACTCTAGTACGGGATTTAGGGTTTGCAGTTGGCTTGGAACCCTTTTAACTGCCATTGTGGATGATTGTTAACATCTTCCACTTGCGATAATCCTTTCATTTATTCCATGCAATGTTGTTTTCAGCTGCTTCTTTTGTCATAAAAGTCTGTCCTCTCCTTTGCTGTTTTTTTCATATACTTATGAGTCGATTCTTTTGTCACAGCCGAAGGCGACATTCGCGCTTCTTTGACAGTTAGGTATGTTGTTTGACGAATATCTGCACTCTCCTTGAGTTAAATGTCTTACTGTACTTTCCTTTTCCTTCAGATAGTTTAATTATTCTTATGCTTATTAGTTTTAATGCAAAAGCATTTTAGTAAAGTAAAGATCTGTCTACTTTTTACTATAATTAGTTTGTTTCTGTTTTGGTGTATGTCTATGGTTCTCAACTTATTTTTTCCTTCATAAACATTCTTGATCTCTAGAAATTTTATCTTTATCATTCAAATGAATCGTTAATTTCCCATGTTTTCTGTTCTGTATTGTTTTCCAACATATACTCGTCTGTAGAGTTCTTCATGTAGATCACTGCATTAGGAATATGTGTACTGTTCCTGTATATGTGTTAACGTGGGAAACTTTCTTTTTAAGAGAAGTTTGGAGTGAGCTTTTTACTGAAGAATGTATCTGGGAGGAATGTAAAAAAACTTTTGAAAGTATCAAGGAGAGTCTTGGTTATTATTGCATTTCGAGAGTTGTTTGGATGTTTACTTTTTTCAGAGAAAATAAACTCTACCTTTGTATGGAAAATAGCCTGACATGAGGTCAAAGCTATATGACGCACATAACCTGTATTCCGAAAAGTATTTAGACAGTGTTAGCTCAATTGGTGATTCCCCAATGTTGCAGTCCCTGTTTCTACACTAAATTTAGATGATATTAGCTCCGTAGTGTTTTCCAATGTTGTAGCCCCAGTTTTGCCTACTGGGCTTGAGGCATATGATAATATTTTGAGTGTGTACACTGAAATTCAGTGGGAGTGAAAAGAATCAGTCTCCTTAGTAAAGTATACTTGCATGGCAGGTCTTCTCAGCAATGTGATTCAGTGGCGGTTATAATGGGTTTCCTTTTGTAGTTTTAAGATTGGAGAGTTTGGCTCGATGACTTCATCATGAGTGCTTTGGCTCCAGCTAGAGTCTCTTAAGAAACTTTTTTCCTTCCAGCTGTTCGTTAATTTGTCACCTTTGTTAGCTGACTAGTTTCTCCATGCATAATGACTGACAATACTCTGATTTCTTAAACTTGTCCGCAAATGTTATTGCTTTCCTTTTTCACTGAACATAACATCTTAATTATATCATGTTGGTGAACTGAGATAAGCTTGGGATGCATTAGGCATCTTTACCGTCCAAATAAACGGAAGTTTTATCTGGCTACATCCATCTATGCTGGTGTCTAAATGCTTGTCGCATTGATTAATGCCTTTTAGAAATGCAACGTTTGCCTTCAGTGTTTTGGTACAAGCATTAGTATTAGCCCTTCAGAAATGCAACCTAGTTGCCTTCACTATGCTGGGTTCACAAAAGTTTTGCATGGAACTACTGATCTGAGTTATAACTGTTAGTAGAGGGGGACAGCATTCTCAACTGTTTGTCTCACAGAAGAATACCAAAGCTCAAGTTATTTTCTTTGATAAGAAATACTGTTCCCATGAAGAAAATCTTGCACAAAACACTTTCAGCACACCCTCTTGATAGGAATTATGGCAGTTGTCTTACAAAATAATATATTATTGTATCTCAAAACCAAGTTTGAGTGTGTGTCGATTGTCAGCGAATGTCTTCTACCCACACTATCGTTCCTTAAACCTTTAAATTTGTTGCTCCTTGGATCTGTTTCCCGAGTAAGTTCCCTACTTGAGTTGTAAAGGCTGTGGGGACGGCGGCCATCTCTGCATGAATTTGTTTGGGATTCGCTTAAACACCTGCTGGTCCTTATTTGTTTTTCATCTGCCCATCTTTGTCTTGCAGATGTGTGTCCCTTTTTCCACTTGAATTTGCTTAGATATTCTCCCCTATAGTTGAGCTTCTGATAACTCGTGTGTGTTTATGTTTAACTTGCTTTTTTGTTTTGAAAATATTCTTTTTTCCCTACATATTGTTGGTGAATGAGCAAATTTGACTCTGTTTCTATACCGGGGAGATATTTTCTCTGTGCATCTCATAACATGTGTCGCGCAGACTTTCATTTTATTTTTTTTGTTTTGTTTTGTTTAATACCAAATAACCAAATTGTTCCATCTTATTATTCTGGAGCATCTGATAAGTTCATTAATATAAGCATGGATGATGATTATAGATTGATATAGCATGGTAATCACTGTCATTCTTGCTGTCTATCATTAGTGTATCATTCATCTGAAGTAATTAAACAAATGTGAAATATTTATTATCGCACACATCAGTTGCACGGCACTCTTTTGTGGCAAGAGCCATATGCATTCATGATATTTTAACTAGGAGTAGTAGGCCTTCCTTTCATTTATCATTTGGAAACTTGTTTTGGATTTGATTGGGCTCTGATTTTGTTTATTTTGTGGTGGTTGTCTCTAGGTTAGCTGCCGTATCATGTACAAATAGAAAAGCGATCAATGGATTCTGGAAGATGATTTTGAAAGCCATTAGATAGAGGCAATGCAACGATTTGTTCAGTTTAGAGTCAGTCACCTTCTGGGGAAGACGGTGTACCGTCTTTGTAACCATAATAAAAGGATAAAATATTACTGGATCACAGCGGAGATTGAATAGCTTTCATCCTTTCCTAATTGATCCTCGTTTGTGTCACCTGTTTCGTTTTTAATATATGCAGTTGTATTGTGGCAGGTTCACTTGACATAGCTTTAATTTGCGCTTTCTCTCTCTCTCTCTCTCTCTCTCTCTCTCTCTCTCTCTCTCTCTCTCTCTCTCTTTTTCCCTTCTAGCTATTATCCTCCTTGCACAAATGTATAAGTAAAATTTACTTCTGCATTGTCTTCCAAATTTGGAAATTCTTTCGCAATGATAGAAGGTTCAGGATCAGGCCACTCAGTGGAATGGCCAAGAAAATGGCAATTTACTCTGTTGAACTTTTAATGAGATGGACTTATCTTGCTTGGGATCGAGTAAATGAAGTATATGAAAAATTGATCGTTGAATTTTATTGCACCTATATAATAAGATGATGAAAGCAATTCTTAACTTGCTAACAATTCTAAATCTGGACGAGGGAAGATTTCTAACAAGGAGCAGTGACCTCATTCAAAGCCATTTTCCGTCAATATAAGAATCCCAAGTTCATATATTTTCCCTTCTTCCTTTTTTTTTTTTCGGGGGGTAATTCCCTCTTCATATATTTTTTCTCTACAATGTTTCCGTTCTACTAGTGATGTCATTTAATTGCCCTTTCTCTACAATCTTATATCTTCTCTTTTTTCATGGTTTTAAGAGACAAATTAATACTAAAATTTGTTCAAATTTGTACTTTATAATTAAGATAAGATGGAATCTATAAATCATATATTAAAGAATTTTAATTCATGCATGCCGCTTAATGAGAGAGTTTAAATCAATTGTACCATTTATCATCACAAAAACTCTTTCATTAAAATGTGAAAAAAAATGTAATTTAATTAAACTAAAATATTACCCCACTTTTTTCATCTAAAATTTTAACCAATATCAAAAGTGATTGATTCTTTAATTTTACATAATCAATGTGATAGGAACTAAAGCATAAAAAATATAATTTCAACACTGATTTAGGACAAAATAAGTAAAAAAAAAAAATATTAGAGTAGCAAAATCATGTCCACAACCTTCTTTGAAAACTAAAGCATAAACTAACAATTAAAATGCTACTCTAATAATTTTTCTTTTACTTATTTTGTCCAAAATTCAGTGTTGAAATTATATTTGAAAGTTTTACGAAGATCATCAAGACAAAAAATCAGAAAAGTTGTAATGTTCAAGGATTGGATATGTTGGTTAGGGGTTTAGGATGGGGATGATTATTACAAGAAGGTTGAGGGTTCGATTCTTGTTGGGCCCATTCATTTTCTTTTTTAAAAAAATTACACATGCAATAATTTTCTTGTTCAATAAATACTAAAATATTGGGTAGTTTGCCCTACTTTAGAATAGGGTAGGACCGTTCTCTTATGGAAACATACTCTTTTTTTTTTTTAATTTTTGATTGGGAGTTCATATTGTCGTTAAAAGAAATTTGACTTTTTGAGTGTTTTGAAATTTTATAGTTTGGGGAAAAAAAGAAGAAAAAAATTAGAAAGTAGTCGTGACTCTGTTGGAAGAGAAGAGAAAGGGTTAGATGAAATAGAAGGGGTAGAAAAGAACAAAGTCTGGGAATATAGAGAAAGAGAGTGACCATTTGACTTGAAAGAATGTTATTTTTGTCATAAAGACAATAATATGTTTGGCAAAGAACTCAATGATGTGGTTAGAAACTTAGAAACTTGGAATATTATCTGTTGGCTAAACAATTTATTATTTATACTGATCTTGAGTCTCTTAAGTATTTAAAATTATAAAATCGTCTAAGTAAAAGGCATGTTAAATGGATTGTATTTATTAAGACATTTTCTTATATCATCAAGTATAAAGAAGTTGTTGATACTTTGATTAAATGTTTAATGAAATTGAAAGGGATGAAATTAGTTACGAATTCCTATGCTACTAACATTTGCTATAGTTTCGTAGCATGTGCTGAAAATTTTTGCAGAAAATTCCAAAGGAAGTCGTTGCGGAAGAAAGCTAAAGTTGCTGCGACGTTTACTAGAAGTGTTCGATGCATGAGAGTTTTATTCAAGTTACAACTTGAAAATCATGGAGCTATCATAGCAAGAGTTAATGATAATGTCTACAAGATTTAATGATAATGTCTACAAACTGGATTTAACTGGCGAGTATGGTGTTACCTGGCGCGTACCACTAACATCCAAGAGTACATTTAATCTGTCAGATCTCTCTCATTTTGATTTTGACAAAGGATTGAATTCGAGGATGAATTCTTTTGAAGAGAGGGGGAGAGGGATGATGGAGACTATTAAGATGCAAGTATTAGGACATCCAAGCTAATGAAAGTGAGTTCGTAAAAATTATAAATGTTAGTAATTAAATAATCATGAAGAATTCTTACATTAGAGATCCAATATCTAATATAATTGGCCCAATCACTCGTTCAAGATTCAAGAAAATAATTTAGTTATGACTACATGGGCTAAAGAAAGTGTTAAGTGTGATAGATACAAGCCCAAGATTGTTAATATGCTGCAAGTGCTATCAAATGGACTCATGGACCTAGAAGGAGGCTCAGCTCAAGTTCCATGGAGGAGCCAAGAGTCCATGGCCGTGCCTACCCTAGGTTGCACGCCCTAAACTTTGCTTAAGGGTTAAGGTAGTCCAAATCCTTTCCATTCCTACATTCTAGGGAGGGATTTGCCACCTTTATTTATTCATCTATTTTTTATAAATAAACACTCTATAAGGAAGATAATGGTCGAATGGTGCTCATGGACCTAGAAGGAGGCTCAACTCAAGCCCCATGGAGGAGCCAAGAGCCCATGGCCGCGCCTACCCTAGGTTGCGCGCCCTAAACCCTTGCTTAAAGGTTAAGGTAGTCAACCAAAAGGGTTGTAGTGGAGTGGTAAGAACTCCTCCACTCTTAACCATAGGTCGAGGGTTCGAACCTCATCATGGACGTGGAGCAACCTTAAATCCTTTGGCCAGCTCTCTCACCCATCGAGGTGCCTACCATGAGCGAAGGGGATTAGTCACTGTTGCCGACTGTGGACACCCTGCAATATACAAAAAAAAAAAAGGGTTAAGGTAGTCCAGATCCTTTCCATTCCTACATTATAGGGAGGGAGTCGCCACCTTCTTTATTTATTTATCTAACTTTTGCAAATAAACACTCTACAGGGAAGATATTGGTTCAGTGGTGCTTAAGAAAGAAGCTTACTTAATCACAAAGCTATATGACCCATCGAGGTGCCTACCATGAGCGAAGGGGATTAGTCACTGTTGCCGACTGTGGACACCCTGCAATATACAAAAAAAAAAAAAAGGGTTAAGGTAGTCCAGATCCTTTCCATTCCTACATTATAGGGAGGGAGTCGCCACCTTCTTTATTTATTTATCTAACTTTTGCAAATAAACACTCTACAGGGAAGATATTGGTTCAGTGGTGCTTAAGAAAGAAGATTACTTAATCACAAAGCTATATGGATGCATGGAGAAGCTTCTTTTCACGAATATCTCCTTAGTATTAACAGTTTTACTTTTTATTTTACACTTAGATTTAATGTATTAGGTCTATAATGAGTCTTATTTTGTTTTCTTGGTCACAAAAAAAACTAGGAGTCGAAGAGTCCAATTTGACTTTGAATTTGTAGAATTAAGGAAGGATCCAACTTCTTCTCTAAGGAAACTTGGAAAACTCAGCTAACCACCCCTATAAAAGGAAGGCTGCTCCCCTCGAGTGCTATGTATGAAATAGATTTGAATTTTGTGAGGTTTTTACCTTCTGAGTTTTTGTTTTTGTGTAGAGCAAATTGTTTGGTTGTTGCTTTGAGTAATGATGACCGTTAGACTTATATTTGTTGTGTGATTCGCTAGAAAGTCGTGTTTATAGAAACGTAGTCTTTGGTTTTGATACTTTTAGGGTCATAGATCAATATCTTTTAGCTCTTCTTATTAGATTCATAAAAGGGGCCTTGCTAGAATTCAACCGTTCAATTTATTGGATTAACTTGGATAGTTGATTATGAGAACTCGTAAATTGATCCACGTGAGGTCAAATATCATCCTATCTGTGTCTGGTATTCAAGTAAGTATTCAAGTTTGTCAAATTTCCGCTACATACTTTGGTCAAGTCATTATTAAAAGTTGATACTTGTTTAAGCATTGATTTTGTTCTTGAGTTGCTATCATCTTTTTGGTATCAAGAGACATCTTATGGTTATTCCAAGCTTGATAGAGCATTAGTCAACGGGGAATGGGTGGATAAGTATACTGAGTCCTTGGTATCTGTACTAGTGGAAGGCATCTCTGATCATGCTCCATTATTAGTAAGGATGAGTGTAGAAAAGCCAAAGAAACCTAAGCCTTTTCGGCTCTTTAATATGTGGTGTCTCTCTCCGAAGTATCTATTGACAGTCCGGCAGAGTAGGAAGACACCTGTTAAAGGAACAATGATGTATCAAGTTTGTGCGAAATTGAAGAGGCCGAAGTATGAATTAAAGAAGCTCAACAGGGAATAGTTCTATGATATTGTTGAAAGAGCTCACAGGGATGATATCAAATTGAAATAATGTCAAGAGGCAGTAAGTGTGGATCCGAGAAATGAAGCATTACTACAGAAGGAAAGAAAGGCATTTAACACTTACGTGGAGTCAAGAAAAACAACCAATTGTTTCTTACAACAAAAGGCTAAAGAGAAATGGGTAGCAGAAGGAGATGACACTACCAGATTTTTGCACTCATTGTTGAAAATCAAAACTATGAGAAACAAAATCTGGTCAGTATTTGATGATTGGGCACTGAGGTGACTGATGGGGAGCAAATAGCAAATCAGTTTTTGCGATATTATCAGAAGTTGCTAGGAAAATCCTCTGTTAGAAAATCGGTTGACTTGGAGATTTTCAAACTCGGACCGCGGCTGAGTGTAGAGCAGCAACTAAGACTGATGAAACCAGTGCAAAAGGAAGAAGTTAAAAAAGCTATATGGGAAATGGGTACAAACAAGAGCCCTGGTACTAACGGGTATGTAGCAGAATTCTTCAAATCAGCTTCGAACGTATGCTCTGGAGTTTTTTGCTTCTGGCCAAGTATTAAAGCAATTTAATCCCGCACTTATAACTTTAATTCCAAAAGTTAAGTGCCCTTTGAATGCTAGCCAGTTTAGGCCTATATCAT